CAGTGTCCTCACTGGGCAACCCAGCACCAGCACTGGTGCTCCTGGGCCAGCCCGTGGCCAAGCAAATGCCTCGCTGGGGCGGGTGGGTACACCATGGTGGAGGTGTTGGCACCCCAGGTTGGGACACGCACAGTGTCCGCATGATCCCCACCACGGCACAGCCACATGCAGCACCTGGGCATCATGCACCGATCACCCAGTGACACTGGGAACGTTTCCTGCCAGAGGGTCCTTTCCCAGTTATTTCAGGCTTTAGCCTGGGAAAAGGCACTGAAACAGGAGCCAGGAGCACCAGCGGTGGTTAGCGCAGCCACTCCGGCTAACCCAGGGGGGTTTCTCCCCAACTTTTGAAAACACCTACCAGGTCTGCTGTGAGGACCTCTGTGTCCCGCTTTATCCAAGGGGAACGTTTTCCTTCATTTTACCGCTTCAGGTTAACCGTGAGCCGCGCGGACGGCTCGGCAGACACCCAGCCTGACACATCTGCCATCCCATCGCCTTTTGCACTTCCCTCTCCTTTTCCCACCGATTGCAGCCGCAGACTGCGACCTACCAAAATGTTTTACAGCTTCTCATGAGGGCGGTGACACCTTGCCCCACCGCTCCTGCTCTCCGTGTCCACACACACACAGAGCTGGTCTCCAGGAGAAGACCATCATGCCTCCGTTGCCAAAGATCCATTAAAACAAATAACTCCAAACTGGTTTGCCTATACAAAGTTTAGCACACTTTGATTTCCCTTTCAACACACATCTTGCTTTAGCCGGGTGGGGAATCAGCTTAATCAAACTGAAATAAAAAGTTGAGCACACAAGTTGCTTTTCTGTAGCTAAAGCAGATCCAATGATTTCAATTAAAGCCAGCCAGCCCCTGCCCCTCGGCAGGACACGCTCCCTCGGAGCAGCCCCGCTCTCCGGTCCCTGCACCCTCCCAGCCTCCATCTACACCCGCTCTCGCTCCCTGCCCGGAGCTAATTCTGTTCCAGCGAATCACTGCGCAACGAGAAACACCACTAATTGCTGTAGGAAACCGCATGGTTTTTGAATTATTTGCTAAATTAAGCAAGAATAATTAGGTAATATTGTAAACGGCTCACGGGTGCTCTGCGAAGCACGCAGACCCCAGAGCACCACCCTGCAGCAGGACATCAACGCGGATGAAGCTTTGGTCCCTGCATAGCATCTGAAATGGCTTTTCAAGAGAAGGGTCACTTGAAAATGAGGTACCTAAAAGCTATAAAGATGAGAAGAATGAGAAGAACTGGCACGAAAGAGCCAAACCCATGGGCAAAGTGACTCTCAAGCAAGAAGTTACCAACAGCACGCGCAGTAAGTGGTCCCCAAACCCCGCGTGCTCGGGGTACCGCACTGAGTCAAGCACACTATTCACATCACCTCCTTTTATTCAAGTAATTAAACCGGGTCCCTTAATTGTGACTGCAACTCCAACAGCCACAAAGTCACTGAAATTACAAAACTACCGCTCCCGGCTCCGGTGGGCCACATCCAGTTTTGATGGACGCGTGAGAACACAGTTTGTCCCAAAGCTGTGACTGTTTTAGCTGTGGACCAAAAAAAGAAAAGCCAAGGGTGGAGGCGCAAGGCTGACGTTAACCCGGGGTGCCGGTTTGCAGCATGCCAGCCCAGGTTTGCCTAGCTGACTGAACTGGAATTTCAAGGGATACATTTAGACACCCGAGTACAAAAGCTGCTGCCAAAAGCTGTCAGCCTCTCCGTCGCAGCTCTACGTTCTCGCTGTCTATTAATACAGC